TATTTTATTTATTATTTTAATAATTTAATTTAAATTTAATTATATATTTTACAAGTTTTTTTATCAAGTCAATGAATGACAACTAACTAGAAATATTTTAACATATATTTTACTTAAAAGTATATTTTAAAAACTTATAATGAATATTATTTAGTGATGATAAGTTAAATACTCTAAATTATATATTTTAATATAATAGAAGAGTAATAATATATTATTTATAGAAGTGTAATTAATTTATTTAATATTTTAGAATATAAATAAAGGATGATGTAATACTTTAATATTTTAAAAAGCGTACACTTACATATAACGTTATATTAAATTCACTAAATTATGTATTTTAATATAATATAAAAATGATAATATAATATTCTCATTACTCATGTTGAGAATAACGTAATTAATTACTCAATAATTAACTCTACTTTTAACATATACACAAGTTTAAAGTTAGATAGAATTTAGACGCTTCGATCTGTGACTATTCCCTGTTTGGAGCAGTTTCAAAATATGTAACTTTCAATCGGAGAAGCAGCCGTTAATGCTTGCATACAATCAATATTTTATTTATTATTATTCATTTATTTGAAGCATTGATTATTACTAATTTGTTTGAAACGTTAAAATTAAATGCATCAAATTTCTGCCACTTCTTTTTTACACATTGATAGTAATCTTTTGATAAAAAAAATATAATAATAACTACATATAAGAAAATAATAATTTTATTATCAATTTTTTAACTAAAATAGTGTAAGACTAACTTTCTTAAAAACAATGGAGAGTCGCATAATAAGTACCAATGGAGTGTAGCTTGATTGACTGATGCATATGAAGACGACAGTATATTTGAAAATTTTTGCATTTGATAAAGATGAAATACAAAATTCTTTACTAAATAGATGATTTCTATAATGTGTATAAGTGTTGATTGCTAATTACTATATCAATAAAGTTTTACCGAATTTGATTTTATGAATAAAAAATAATGAATTAACACTTAAGAAATTTCTTGATAATTATAATGGAAATGCATATCATATATTCTATATATATGAATATTAGAGATTGCGATTTGCAATGAAAGAAGCTAGTAGGGTCTTTCACGTATATAGTTGCCAGGGGGAGAATAGTTGCAAGTGATGAAAGTGCCTCCATTATCACATCTTACTTTGGCACATCCAATGCGTACAGAGTTTCTCCAAACAACCTGAGTGTAATGCAGACACTGCTGACCGTAAACACAAGAGTTAGAATAGTAGTCATAGTAGGGTTTCTCATCGACCCACATTTTCACTGCCTCTACGCCACTTAGGTCACCAGTGCTCATAGCAATATTCTCTCCGTATTTTCCACCGCCACCCGAGTGGATCAGTTGGCAATCACCTTTGCGTTGCCGTTGATTAGCGTAGTTTTGTGCAAAAGCTGCGACGGTATCATCCCAACCCAAGTTTTCAACAACCACTTGTGCCCTTGCAACGTTGTGTGCATTCACGTAGTCTTCTTCTGAGTCTTGGGCGTAGGCCACATGACCAACCATCACTAACCCCAACACATAAAATAGAGACAATGAAACCTTGCACAACCCCATTTTGATTAATATTGATTTTCAAAATAATAGTAGAAGGGAGGTTTTTGATTAATAAGGTTGGAGATCTTGAGAGGTATTTATAGGGAACCTAATTAGCATGTTTTTTTTTTAGTATATGAAAGGTTCGTGCGAAAGAATAGTGGTGATGAAAAATTATATAATTCGTCACATACTTAACTTAATGCTACTTTCATTTCAATTCATAAAATCAAACTTAAAAAGACTCGATTTATATGATCTCATATATTAATTATTTCTAAACTAATATTTTTAATTGAAGTATATGTTCACTTAATTTAATAAAATATATTAATCACAAACTTTATAAAAAAGTATATATTCTAATTAATTAGGAGAAATATATGTATTAATTAAAAAAATTATGTACTCTAAATTAGTTAAATGATACACGATTATTAATTAAGAAAGAGATAAATTATATGAGTATTAATTAAGAAAGAAAAATAATATAAGTGTAATTTTAGAATATATATATATATATATAATACAGATTTATTATTATCAATTAAATTAACTTTTTTTTTTAATATTAGTGAATTAGATAATTATACCTTATATATAAGAAGGACTTTTTAATTTCATGTTGTGTTTATATACACAAACATTAATCTTTTAATTTTGAATTTGAATAAAAAAATTAAAATAAATTTTCTAAAGATTTTGAATGAAGAATTAAAATTAAATAAATATAGTTAAATAGTGAAAATTAAATTTAGAAGATATTAATATACTAATAATAGAAGATATTGTCTTTTCGATCTACATGTTTTATGAACTATTTTGTTTTTATAACTATACATGTAAGTTATTGTTTCTTTCTTTTATTTAGATTTTTTTTATAATAATGTTATTAATATAAACAGATTTCATTAATGACTAATCTTTTAATTATCTTTAATAGAGTCTTTCTTTTTAATTACATTTTTTTTCATAAGATTCAAATGCGAAACTTTAATTAAGGGGTCATACCACTAAGGCAAACAATTTTTTGATTTTTTTTTCTCTCTCTCTTAATATTTCACAATATATTTATCACATTCTTTTAAATAATCTCTAACTATATTATTACTTTTTTATTTTATTTTTATTTTAAAAAAATAGAGAACCACATAGTGCTTCTTTTTTTTTTTAATCTTATAGCATTAATAATATTATTGTATTAATTTTTCAATATATTATTAATTCTAATAATGTATAAATTTTCATTTAATAATAATAAATATATGTACAATTTTGATACTCATTAAATATATGTGTATTATAATTGTTATTTATATATTTAATAAAAATGTTAGATCGTTGATTTATGTATATTGTGTGATATTTTAAAATGTTTATTTAATTGTGAGATTATTTTGTTTTTAAATTTAATTTTAAACTATCTATGAAAATCATTGTTTAACTAATTATTGATTTTTAAAGTCTAATTAATTTTGATTTTAATGAGATATAATAAAAATTATTGTAGTTTTAATTACTTTTTATATATTAACATCTTAATTTTAAATTAATTGTTTTTAATAAATGTATTTAATAGATTGCTCCAATGATCACTCCTTTCATTGTATAACTGAGCACAAAAGGAGTTAGATATGTATTAAGCTGTGTTTTTTTCCTCTGCCTTCTCCTTTTGTTTTCTCTTTTTTAATTAAAAACTTGTCATATTTGCTTCGTCATACTTGCATGGAGTTTGAAGTTAAGTAGTTTAAGACATTATATTGCATACTCAATTTTTTTTTTCGTGTTCTCATCAACATATACATGAACAATATGTGTAGCACTTCACCCTAATATATAAGAGGTATATGTGGAAATGAGTTATTATTAGTGCGGCAGATTTGAAAATTTTCTTTAATGAGGACCAAGAAATAGTCTTTAGAAGAAAAATATTATAAGCCTTTACTTAATACACAATTTCAAGAAATACATTTGTATAATTGTCTAATTGTGTTACCAACTAAATCTTAATATTTATGTGTTCAGTATCGAGAATGAGAGAAAGTAATGGGATAAAGTGATTAAATAAATACCATTTTTTATACAATGTTTTACCTTTATTAAAAAGTGTCATGGGGTAACACATATTTTTATGGGAAAAAAGTTTTTTTGTGAACATATATAATAAAATAAAATAAATAAATCTTGTGGAGACAATTGTCCCCGTAGATGTTAACGCGTATTGCACCGGGTGTTACCTCCTTAGTAAAAAAATAAAGACAAAAAATTTCATTAACCTAATACTTGAGTGTTATTTTTGAGTTAAAGGTGGAAATTTACATCCAATCATTAAAATTTTGACCATTATTTTTTACATGTCATTTTATTATATTATATTATATTTATTCTAATTATAAGTAATAAATTTAATTTTTCTTCAATTATATTAACTTTTAAAGTTATCCAAAAATACTTTTTTTATACTCTTACTTAATTGTTAATCCTATTTCTTATATAATTACTTATAACTAGCATTAAATGCAACAATCATTTAAAATAAAGGGTATCTTTAAAATAAAAATTAAATTTATGCTATAATTAATTACAAACAATCAACTTAATTATTTTTTTATCTTGATTATTTATCCTATGTTATTTATAATTAGGATCAGAGGTAATATTTTTTTTTACTATATTATATCTTATTACTATATATCAACATTTGCATTATTTATCATTAGTGGATAAGACATTTTATGTCTCTATTTATTTTTTGTAAAAAAAGTAAAAATTTTGAAAATAATTGTATATCAACAATGTAAAAAAAGATGAAAGTCAATAAATAAAAAAAGATAAAAATATAAAGAGATAAAAGAGAGAGAGAGAATTATATGAATAGTAACCAATAGAAATGTAACAATGATAATTACTTACAAAAGTTAAAAGACTAAAATATAAAAACAAAAATTTAGATAAAATTTAATAAGCTTTTTTTTTTATGAAAACTTTGAAGGATTAAACAATTTCATTAAAAATAAAGATTAAAAGTGGTTGAAAGAAAAAATATCTCTTTTATTTAATATTATAGATGTCAAGTGTCAATATTACATTAAAAAAATATTTAATTTTTAGTAAATAATTACTAAATAAACTAAAATCACAACTCAAATTACAATTATAAAATACACACGAGTAAAAGTTGAACTACAATTATAAAATTGTCATGCTTAAAAGATAAAAAAAAAAGTGCATTAAAGTCAATAATTAATTATTAAGGAGTGTTTTAATAGTATTATTAATTATTTTGAAATAAAAATTATTGGATATGTTACATATGAGAGTAGTTAAAACGGTGAAAAAGAATTAATAAATATATTTAACATTATTCCATTTTTTTTATTTTTGGTTCGTCCCTGAAATATTCAGAGTCGATAAAATTTAACACAGCTACATTTACAAGATAAAATTTGAACCCTTAACTTTAGATGGATCCCCAATAGTTAAATTACAGGCTTGGAGTTTACATTATTCCCTTTAAACTTTAGAAACCGAAAAGTAAAATAACATCCTAGACTTTTACGTGCATGCATAAGAAAAGTCAAACGCACCCGACACTCCTGTAACAGATACCTTCAAAAGCAGACTAAATGGGATCCAATACTTAAAAATACTTTTTTTTGAATGCCCTTAAGTCTTGCACGTACCACAAATTAAGCAGTAAATTTTGCCTATTAACCTCAGTGGAGCCCACCGTTTTTCTTCGCGCGCGCAATAATCAGGTATTGGATTAATGATTAATGCACTTTTCTATCAGCTCTATTATACGGAGAAAAAATTGATTTTTGACGTATTAAAAAAATATTTATTTATATTAAATTTTTCTAATCTTATAATTTTTTTAACAATTATCTTATATGTAAAAAAATAGTATAACTAAATTTTAAACCTTAAACCCTAGAAAAAAAATAATACAATTGAAAAATTATATGTTAAATAAAGAATATCGTTAAATAAGATAAAAATTATTGAAATTTATTTATATTTAAGAATAAAAAAATATGAGTGTATTTTTTTTCTTACAATAAAAAAATAAAATATACAATTAGGATTGTTATTATTTATTTATTTTGTATGTGTAAAAAAAATTATGATAATGACATTGTGGAGTGACACAAATCATTTAAAATCTAATCTGAATTAGTATTCTTCATAATAGTAAAATCTTATATCAAATTAAACATTAGTGAATTTTAATTAATTATTAAATACATAATTATGTTTAATTTGAAAATCTTAAATATATCATTAACCTTTATCTGAATAATGTTGTGGATGTCATTCTCTATCCATCATTTTATAAATGTTGTGAGGCAATGTCATTCTCATTCATTTGTCAGCAGCCGGCAAAGAGAGCGAAAGCGAACATGTGTTGTTGCTTGCCACTAAACAACTGATCCGTGAACACATTTTGGCATCACTCTAAACTCCACCTGCTATGTGTCTACAACAACTTACAATACTATATTCATCTTACCATTTTTAAGGAATCAAATTCTATATTTTTAGACCTATATACTTTTTACCCATGATTGCATACTCCTCTGATTTCACAATTTCCCTTCATTAGCAACTTTTCTAACATACTCGTTCCTTTTAATTAAGATTATGGAGAATCCCTTATTATTAATCTGACATAAATAATTTGCATATGACAGATTTGATATCTTATTTTACATTTCCTGTTAATTAATACGCATTTATAAAATATTTTGATTATTTTAAAAGTAGTACTCAATGTTTTCTTTGCTTTCTTATAATAAATATTTATCTTTCTATTAAATACTTTTTTATTTTTTCTTGATCGCTGAATAACATTAATTTGTCTTATTTTTTTTATTTTTTTTATAACTATGGTATAGATACAAACTATCAATCATTTATTAATCTATGTTAAAAATTGTGAGTTCATGTATGACAGATATTTTCTTTCTAATATAATTTATTTTATACCTAAAGTTAGGATTACACCTTGAACATTTTATTTAAGAGATAGAAATTGTTACTATTCATGTCAATCAATATTGATTATCTCATTTTATTTACGACTCATTTCATAATTAAATATAAATAAAATTAGGTAATTAATTTATGCAATAATTTAAAATTAATTAATATCATTTAATTTTGTTAATCTGTTTTAAAAATTAACTTGTTTCCATTATTATTTTTATTGAAATTTGATATAAAGAATAAAAAGAACCGTTGAAATAAAATGAATCGCAAATAAATAAAAATATTTATAAATAATATTATTAATAAAATAAAATAAATTAAAATTAAATTATAATCGGAGAGAGGATTTATTTGGTTAAAAGTGGGTGGTTTTAGTTAACTAACTCTAATTTTGACTTTATCTATAGACATGCACTTACAATAGTTTGGTACTGTGGACTCTGTTAGTATTTGCATTTGGCTCAAATGTTACTGGCCGCACTTCACAGTTTCAACTTTCAACTGGGAAAGCAACCGTTAATGCTGTGTGCCTACAATCAATTTTTTATTTAATAAATATAATAATAATTTATTATCATTAATGTTTATAATTAGAAATAATGGAAACATTAAGATTTAAAATAAAATAGAAAGTAACTCCAAGCGTGTAGTTCAGCGATAGGAGTTGATCCACGCTTAAACAAGGTCAGGAGTTTGAATTCTGTCTTGTGTATGCAATTGCGTTAAATCTTGGGACCAGCTATCCCACCCTTTGAGGTGCCTCCAACGTAACGAGGAGATTAGTCACTGCTGTCGGCGGTGGATACTCTATTGGAGAACCCAAAAAAAAAAAAAAAAAAAAGTAACATTAATAGACACAGATGGTAGGAATCTAATAAGGTCGTTCCCCTTGGATGTTCCCGGGAGGCGAATAGCTGCAAATGAGAAAGACCCAGCCATTGTTACATTTGGCTTTAGCGCAGCCAAGATGAAGGGAATCGCGCCACACAATCTGAGTGTAGTGGAGGCACTCGTCGTGGACGCAAGCGTTGGAGTGGTAATCATAGTAAGGCTTCTCCGTCAGCCAGAACTTCACTGCGTCCGAACCCTTCATCTCGCCGTAGCCCTCAGCCAGGTTCTCTCCGAAGGGTCCCATGGAGTGTTCCAGGTTGCAGTCTGGGATTCTCTCGTTCGCGTACCTCTGAGCGTACGCTTCCAGGCTGTGGTTCCATGAGAGTGGGCCCACGCCAACCTCCGCACGGGCCTCGTTGTGGACCTTCAGAAACTCTTCCGCCCTGCTCTGGCCTACGGACACTCTTGCTCTTGTACACAGCAAGACCAAAGTGGAGAGGATCACATTCACATGCCATGGAGACATCATCTTTTCTCTTTTCTTTTTCTCAATCACTCACTCTGAGTCTGAACCACATCTACCTTAAGCTTTCTATTTATAGCCACATAATGTTTTTTAATCAATGCCTGCTGGTGGCAGCCACTCATCTTTCCCTCTTATCAAACTACAATTAAAATCATAAATACAACATCACACCTTCCTTATTATACTTATTATTAACTGTTTCAATATCTTTAAAGACTCGTATATGTTAGGAATCGAGATTAAAAATAATTTAATAATTTATTAAAACATATTTTCAAGAATAAAATTATGACGATTTAATAAATATTAAAATAGGATAATATTTTGAATGTGATAATCTTAATGATAAAAATAGATTTACAAATGTGACGATCCTAATGATCATAGATGATTTAAAGTTAGAAAAAAAAACTCAATGCAAAATATTAAAATTAGGAAAGTGATCCTTTTTGTTTTTAGTTTAATTTTTATATATAAAAATTATAATTTTCACCCATTAAAAATCACCTTAATATAACTCTAAAAATTAACTATTGCCAAATTCAACAATCTTATCATATTTGTACTTCACTATAAGCAATTATATTTTATCAAGTAGGACTAATATAAATAGGAATACTTTATCTTACTAATTAACATAATATTAACTCAACTTTAAAACTACTAGCTAGTTTTTTTTGGATTAATTTACGTTTGATTAAATACATGACAATTTATGATGTTGAAAAAATTATTTATATTTTTTTATCAGTAGGAATATAATATCATATCACAATCACTAGTGCAAAAGAGATATTTTACGTTGGTTATTTTGAGATTTTTACGTCGCAAAAAAATTGACATTAATGCGAGAGACGTAAATTTACGTCGGTTGTGATGGTCGCCGTAAATTTACGTCGAACATTGCCAAGGTCTGACGTAAAATTACAAAGGCACAAATTTAATGCATCTGGAACGGCCCGTTCTAGTTGCAAAACGGGCCGTTCCAGATGTAGAAACGTGCTAAAAAAACTCTTTTACTCTCTTGTTTACAAATACACTGAGGCGTGCTGTTGATCCTAGTTCGCTTACTAATCGCTTTCGAGGTCAGTCTTCAATGGCACGAAGCTTTAGTGGCATATAATCGAATGCCTTAGTCGAATGATCGGACAGATGAAAGGAGAACTTTCTGGTGAGGCATCTGGATTTGATTCGGGTTTGGGTTGGTTAAAGCTTGAAAGGGAGTTGTGTTTTTTGAGGACTCAACTTTTCAAGCAAGAGTTGTCTTTGAAAGAATGAGAAGGAAGAGAGTGAATAAGGCACAGGAAATGAAGTCATCCAGGTTCGGAGCGGTAAGCATATATGCATTCTACCTTTTTTACGTCGGATTTGGTAAGATCCGACGTAAAAAATAAAATCTATGTCGAAAACTGGATACATCCGACGTAGATTTTAAATTTTACGTCGGATCCTACCAAGTCCGACGTAAAAGAATTCAAAAAAATTACAAAAATATCACCGCATCTTTTTTACGTCAATTTTTTATATGTTCGACGATAAAGAGGTGACGTAAAAGACTAATTTTCCACTAGTGAATATTATAACTACTAACTCACATCAAGCTAAAGTCCTTTGTTTAAAAAAAATATTTATATCGTTAATATATCCGAAATAATTTTTTTATTTAAACAATTGGTATTTAAAATTGAGTTTCATTTTAAAAATACTAGAGTAAGATTTTAACACTATCAATCAATTAATAACTACCTTCCATATGTTGATCAAAGTTGAATTGTGCTGAGATATCTTCTAATGGTGTCTTTTGTTTGTGTATTGTTAATAGAAAGAAAAAAAAATTGAAAGAAGAATTCGTTAAAATGGACCGGTTAAATTTTCTAACAAGTATTAGTCATCGATAAAATTTATAAATATTTTATAAAATAATATAATGACTAAAAAATTAATAATCACCTTAAATATAATTATTAAATAATTATTTTAGATGATTACCACACATTTTATCCGTGATTAAATATCATCAATACATTACAACTATATATTCTTAAAAAGTAATTACTATTGGTCCTAAAATAAGTAATTAATATAGGACCCAATTAATTCAAGTCAAATATATTTACTTTAAGAAAAAAAATCCAATACATTTTTTCCAACTCAGGTAATTTTTTATTTTAGGAATGAAAAATCTTGAAAATATCTTAACTTTATTTTATTATTTTAAAAAAATTAAAGTAAGTAAATGTGGTGTAAATGTTACCTTAGATTAAAAATATACACTATCAAATCTGTTAATTCGTGTAAAATTAGATAAAAAAAAAATAGTTATAAGAAAATATCTCAAATATATATATATAGTCATACAAATTTATTGACAAAGATTAACCATCAATAAAATTAATCATATTTCATAGTATGAATATGATTGTAAAAAAAAATATATATATAACCAGCAAAAGTTGGTCCGATAAAAACAAAGTTATATTCCATAAAAAATTGTGGCTAGTGGGAGAATCTCGTTAAAAGGTAATCTAACCGTGCTCTTTGAGTTTTGGAGATCTATATATCCTAACTCTGGTAAAACCCCCAAACCCAATTGACCAAAAACATTCCCTTACCAGAAGAAAAAAACATACCCATATGATCTTCTCAATACTTTAATTCGATGAAAGTGATAAAAGAAAAATAAATCAGCTGAAAAAGTAAAAGGATAAATTAAACACAGAACACAAACAAAATGCGCATGAGATTCTGTTATGGTGGCCATAAGTGAAAGTACAATTAAAAATGTTATATTTTAATGCTCACTAATACCCTAGTTATCCCCTTATCTGGATTCCACTGTTTCTGATTCTTTTACTAATAATTAATTATTTAGATAGCATTATTTATTGTATTAAGATTTAATTTTACGTAAAGTCTTCTTTGGGGGAAAGCAATATTATAAATTATAATTTCTCCTAATTATTTTTTTTATAATAATCTTATTTATTATTAATTTAAGAAAGATTTAAATGTGTAAATGCTCTTATGATATTGAATTTCTTAATGGAATATTAAAAGAATTATTTAAAAATGTGTTTTATAAATGTAAAATTATGATATAAAATGAGAAAAAGATATAAGAAAAAAGTATAATCGTAATATACTAATATTTTATTTTTAAAAATCATTTACTAAAAAAAAAGAGCTTCTTGTGCATGCAAAATCTATATTTTGCAATTCTTCAATAATAATATATACTTTGCTTAGTTAATGAAATGAAAGAATAACAGTAAACATCATGTGACTAAGTCTCTCCGTATACTATTGAACGTATGACTCAAACATATCTCTATCACGTATCACTACATGCAAGTAATTGCAATTGATATGTCACATGTTATGAATCTAACATTATGGGAAGAGGGACCCAATACTTCACATGTTTCTCCATCACTTGTGGCCATAAATTTCGGAAGCTTAAGATCATTTTGTATAGACGTGGAAATTTGGTGCCAATATGTGACAAGGTCGCGTGAACTTAGTTTCGATCCTATTTTCTTTTTTTGAGGCATTATGTTATTATGTTGTATTTCATTGATCGATTGGAGTGTATGCAAACAAGAACAAATAAGAAAATGATGTAGATTATCAATCATTGTCTCTTACAATTATTCTCGAACATTTTCTGACTGTTTTTATTAACTTCCTTATAATAACTACTTTTTATCAATTAATTATAAGGATGCAGGTATCAATATCACATATTTTATAGTTGTCATATATCGTATATTTACACAACAACTCTTAGAATCAGTGTTTTAAAACTCGGACCGACCCGGCCGGTCGGACCGGTTGGACCGGGAACCGGTGGGGCAGCCGGT